GGTTTAGGATTTTATTGCTTTCTAGACTTAGGATTTAATATTTAATTGTTTTATTAGTTTCCTAGTAAGAATAGATCTAGAGATAGTTGGTATCTATAAATACCCATGTACATCATCATATTTTACATGTTGAATGAAGTATTGAATTGGTGAGCCAATCTTGAGGGGGAACTATGTTCTTAACGCGTGATAAACAAGGTCGTTAGTGCGTGTTTACATACAGTGTCGGAGAGAAGGCCATTAGTGCGTCTTGAAGTCACGGTGTCTAGGAGAAGGCTGCAGTGCATCTGTTAGACACGTCTATCGTGAATAAACGAAGGCCTAGAGCGCGTTTATTCACAACCATCGTATAGGTAAGAACACGATCCGTCATCACGCATGCCTCAAGGTATGCGGCATCCAGCCCCGCGCGTTCATCCCCGCGCGCTTTGTTCCCGCCCGCGCCCGGCGTCCCGCCTGTCTCGCGCGTGCTGCTGCCTCGCGCCGCGTCCGTCTCGCCCAGCGCCCGTGCACACCGTGTGTCTGCGTATACGACTTGCGCACCCTCGTTCGGCCTTTTCTCGCTTGCCCCGCGCGCACTACGCTCCAGTGCGCGTACCTCTGCCGTCTCTCGGGCTTGCCTCTTGCGCGCATGGTAGGCCCGACTGGCGGCGTTCTTGAGCTGCCTAGCCACTTCCGCATCAGTCAGGCAGCGCGGACGGGCAGCGTGCGTGTATGCCCGTGAGGCGTCGCGCATAGCCCTGGCCATCGCAGCAAGTCCGCTGGCAGTTCCCTCGCACGCCAGCAAAGTCCTGTGCACGTCCGTGTGCACGCTCGAGTGTCAGTTGCTTGTTGTGGCGCACGGGAGCGCCCAACAGCGTCCGTTGTGCATAGCCCGCGCACGTAGCGCAAGGCAGCACCCAGCCCGATGCCTGCGAAGCGCCAGGCGCACGCACGCGTCCCAGTTGGCCATCAGTTGCGTGCAAACACCGCCAGACGTGCCAGTCATGCCCAGTGGCACGCCCGCGCGCGTCAGGACGCATGCCTGTGCCCAGTCCATGCCCAGCACCTCAGCAGTAGTCGCCCGCCAGTGCCCGCGGCCAATGCAGGTAGTGCCCATGCGCGCAGCCTCGACAGGCCCACTGGCCGAGCCAGTGCCCGACCGCCCGGCTCAGCAGACCAGCGGTCCGGCCAGACCAGTTCAGTCCGGTTCAGACCAGTTGGACCAGTTCAGTCCATATTTTCATGTTTTAGCCCGATTCATGTTTTAGTTTCATTTTTCAGTTACATTTCTGGGTCCAGTTCAGTTCAGTAAATTCATGTCCGATCAGTTTATGCCAAATCAGTTCCGGTTAAACCGGTTAAGTCCAAATATCATGTCAAGTCCAGTAGAGCATCTTAACAAATTAAACAGTTAATTTTATCAGTCTGAGCATAGTACTTAGTAATTGTTTACATTATATTTAAGTTTGATCAGGCATCAGTCATCAGCACTACCTTTCATTTTCACGGATCAGGTGGGGACTCAGACTAAGTACTACATTGATTATAATTACGCTACCATGTTTGAGGTATGTATTATCAGTATCCGCTCAGAATGGTTGTCGGTCCATTCTGGGTTCTAGTGGCCTTAATCTGCCCACTAGAGTGTGCACATGGTGTCCGGCTATGCCGGCAGATGTTCAGTTATCAGTCAGGTGATTTATATCACGAGATCAGTATCAGATTATTCAGTACCGGTATCAGATATCAGTTTCAGTTTCAGTTCAGTTATATATGCCAGGATCATGATATTGTTATTATATTCATTGTTTTACTTTAGTATGAGTTTCTGTGGAGCACTGTGTTTTAGTGCTCACGCCCCCACGTTATTCATGTTTTTTTTTTTCAGGTCACAGAGTCGGAGACGAGGAGTGAGCTGGCGACCGGTTCAGGACATTTGTAAATATGTGTATATCATGTTTTGGCTACACTATGATTCCGCTACTGTTT